TTATGTTGTATTATTTTATGTTGTATAGAATGAGGATATTATTGTAAAATATCCATCGATATGTACAATATAGTTCCAGTATTGTAAACTTTACAGAGCATAGCCGTTTTATCATTATGAAGAAACATAAACATAGATTTATTTTAACAACAGAACTTGAATAATAAACACAATTAAATATAATTAAAGCAAAATATATTTAAATCGCTTCTAATGTCATTATATTTTGATCGGTTTATTTATAAATCAATTATAAAGTATAAAGATAATGTATTTATTATAAACAATTAATTATTTATTTAATATATTTTATTTAATTTTTTGATTATTTATAATTAAAATATAAAAATTGTAAAAGATACAAAAGCAAATTTACATAATGAAATTATTTAAAGGACAAAGGTCAATTTTAATATCAATAGAGGTATAAAAAAAATATAATTATTAAATTTGACCTTTATTTGAGATAAATCATGAAAAATATTAATGTTGAGTTAAACTTTGATAAATAAAATTGTCATTTAAATTTACAATATTTAATACATTTTTAAATAATAATCATTGTAACAAAAAATTGGGAGTTTCTTATAAGTATTTATTTATAAAAAATATTAATTTCTTTTAAAACAAATATACTCAGAAACTACATGCTTTAATTTAAAATAATAAATAAGAGCTTGAAACAGAAACAAAAGGTAAATGAAAAAGTATTGAGAATAAAAAAATAGTTTGAGTTTTCGAGGGAAAAAAAAAAAAAAAAAAAAAAAAAAAAAAAAAAAAAAAAAACGAATTGAAAAATTGTAAGTAAATAAACAAAAGAAGAAATAAAAAGAAAGGATGCATAAAAGGAAAGAAATAACACAAGGGGTAGATTCTATCACGGATAACCGCTTTATTTCTTTGCTCGGTGATCGCGGAGAGAGTTGACCGAGATAACGCGTATACGCTCAATCAAGCGAAACCGCATTTACTTGTATGCGGCTCACATAACACACACTTGGGCAGTTCGCCTGTGCTTAAATGCACCCACCCCTCTTTCACTCTCAAGTACGCACATGCTTGGCTTATATGCTTTCCCGCTGTCATCCAATTAATTTTTTTACCCCTAGCCCACTTTTGCTTACGCTACGTTTTGCCCCTCTACTCCCTACCCCTCTCCCTTTCTCTCTCTCTCTCTCTCTCTTTATCCTTCTACTATTTTTAATAGATTATGAATCACATTCTATCGTGGTTTAAAATCAAATAATCTTTGTTTTCGCAGGACCGATGGAATTTTAGATTTCTTAATCTACAGTCAATTATAAATTTATATCAAACTGATTTTCAATCAAAATTTAAATAATAATATTTATATGAAATGCACTTAAATTTAGAAAATTGAAAACAAATTATTTAACACATCTTTTGTTATAATATTATAATATATTTTACATTAAGGAACTGTTATTTACAACAATTACTTTTATCTTCGATGCTACTTATATAAATGAATTAAATTCATGAAGCGATATATTCATAATATACTCTCAGGTTTCTTCATCTTTTACTTCATTCAATTCAATTTTTAAATTCTAACAGTTAAGTTTTTTAATGTTCGATAAAGATTCGCATACGTGACAAAGATATTTACCAACGAATCATATTAGACAAGACTACGATCAAATCTCGCAAAAAGGAAGAAGATGTAATACTGATCTTAACGCATACAAAGGAGAAGAATGGCCGTACTAGTAAGACAATAAATGCGGGTTATCGGAAGTATTGGCTTGATCGTGCCTTTGTTGATTCTCTTATTTCATGTTCTTCTGAAAACTAAGATTTTAAATTTATTATACGGGTACGGTGAGTAGTCATTTTGAAAATCCATATATAATTATTTAACAATTTTTCTTATATATTTTTTAGTAAATTAAATAATTATGTAAATTATACATATAAATTTTCTAAAATATTGCGTTGCATTATAAACGTTATAAATTATCAATATATGATACAAATTTTAATAATTTTCATTTTATATGATTTCATTTTATTTTATATGATTCCGATAAAACTACAAAATTCAATACAAATTTTCATTAATTAGTCTTATCTATAATATTTCTATAAAAAAAAATTATATAAAAAAATAATTTGATTTGAGATATTAAGAAAATGTTGATATTTTCACATTGTTATATTCTCTAATGATATTATTATAAGAATTATAACAATAGTAATAGTAATAGAATTATAAATAGTAATAGAAATTTAAAAACATGCAAATATTAATATAATAGTATTGGTTGATTAAATTTTCACAATAGTAATGAACAAGTTTTCTGTTTATTCCATAATTAATAATTTTTATATAATTATAATATTTATAAATTTATAATCTTTGATAAAAGAATCATGTAATACTATATGTAATGAAACGACTTTTCATATACGTTTGAATTTTTGGCGAATTCAATATGCCATGTTCATTATCATGAAACGCATTTTGTTTAATTCCTTAAATTTATTATAAAAATAAAAGATTTATGAAGCAAGTATTTACAGATTAATTTAATTTGAATAGAAAATTATGATAAACCTATATATCATGCAGTACTGATCGTGAACACAATTTCACCACTCTTCTTTTTACTTTAAATAATTATAATATTATTAGAGTTTTATTGAAAGTTTTAAAAAGATTTAAAAAATTATAATTTATGTCTATATTCTTTCATTATTATTACTGCATAAATTCAATTAAATGATTTATGATCAAAATAAATTAAAAGAAAAAAGAAAATATAATTCCATAAATACAAACAAATTTATTTGTATTTTTAACATATTTGTGGTGTAATTAATATTTAAAATAAATTCTTAAGATAATTGTTTAAAATATTATAAATTAAATGCGAGAAATAAATAAAAGAATTAAATTATAATTGTTTACTCGTGTTGCAATTTAATACAATTTTTCTATTAATTTTATATGTATTTACATTTGTTATTAAAATATAATTAAAATCTAAAAAAAAAATATTTAAAAAATGTTAACAATAGTATAAGTATTATATGAATAAGTTAATAAATCTATTTAAATATTTTCGTCGTATATATAATTTTATTAATTTTATGTAATTTAAAAATAATTGAAATCCGTAAATCAGGAATTATAATTATATGTAAAATATTATTATCTAAAGTAGTAACATCAGAGTAAAAAAATTTAATTTTAGTTTTAAATTTATTTGTTTGTTTAGAGAAAGATTTTGATTTAGTGATGTAATGGTTATTTAATTTCTAATTAATAGAGAAGTATTGACTACATTATACATGCCAGAATAAATATTTTCAAAAAGAATTTTTGATATCATTATTAAAATATGAATTTATATTTATTAATTGGTAATTTTGTTTAATTTCGTAATTCCTATTAATTGTCTATTAACATAAATTTAAAAATTTTTTTAGAAGAATATAATTTGATATTTATTTGTAAATGTTTTTATATTTTTATATAATTTTAATACTCTATTATTTACTTAAATTTTAACATGTTATTCAATATTTCAGTAATGGATGACCTATCTTGTATTAAGTAAATTAAGTACTAGTGTTCAAACTTTTTCTTTCATTCGCAATTAATAAAAATGCTTTCCAATTGAACTATACGATTAAGTAGGCTACTAAAGCAATACATAAATTTGCCGATGCATTCCAGAAAATATGTCACGCAGCTGCATCATCGAAAAAGCAGCTGCAGGTGAAAATTCGTTTTTGGGGGAAGAGAATTGCGTATACACGCAATCACGTATATGTCTAATCACATAAGTGCTACTGGATAATATTACCGACGCCTAAAAACAAGGATAGTTTCGAAACTTGACTGTGTCTTGAGTTTTTGCTTACGAGTGCATAATTTTTCGAGTTCAACGTAATGTTGCGTTGGTCAAATTCGATTGACGAGTTGCACTCCATGCTTAGAAGAGTTTGGAGTGTGGGACGGTAAGAAGCCTCGCGAACGTCCGGTTGAATGGTCATCAACTCCGCAACAAAGTGCTACATATAAAACATGGTCAGTCAATATTTTTCTTATACTTATCGATAATTATAGTTAGTTAAACAATTTTTTCACTATTACATTATAAGTAATTTAGATATTGAATCGTATTAAATATCATGAAATATTTTTAATAAACTTTTTTAATAAATTTTCTTTGCAACGGTATTTATATCTCAATAATAATTAAAGAATTATTTTATTTCGAATAATAAACCTTATTATAAAGTCATTATATATTGAATGTCTATTGAATGAATATATATTGAATATATATTGGAAATGTCGATTATATATTGGCTTCGGCCTAATTCATGTTAAATATATTATTATTAAGACCAATATTAATCACATATTTCTACACATTAGAAGCTGTACAAAACTAATAGTAATTTTTGCTTTATGTTAATATTATATAAAAATTAAATTGAATTCACATTTATACGAATATTATAATACATGATTCAATCATTGAATAATTAAATTCATTTTTTATTATAATTATATTAGGTGTATCAAATAATCATTTATTTATCATAAATTCAATTTTAAGCTTTAATAATGTTATATATATATATATATATATATATATATATATAACATTATTAAAGCTTAAAATTGAATTTATGATAAATAAATGATTATTTGATAATTATATAATAACTGTAATAAAGTTAATAAATTTTCTGATTACAGGAATTTAATACAAAAAATCTCAAACGTTCCCCAACAAATATTCAATACGGTAAACAAATTAACATGCAATTTTATTTTCAACGTTAAAATTCTAATGCATTAATGATCATTGTATTAAAATTTAATTTTATTAGTGAGAAGCTGTGATGTATCAAAGGACACTTGTAAATCAAAGCATTGCCTTAAATTTATTTTTCAATACAAGACAAGTTTTATAGCTGCTATTTTCTCCATTGTGCTTCTTATTTGTTTTATTATTATGATGATTTACGTTACACTGGAATCAGGTAATTTCTATTCATTCGGTATATAATTTTATAAGTGATTAAATATTTTTAAACTCGTTCAAAAATCAATTTTTTAATTTCTACGAGACCGTATTAATCCGTATATTATTGTAAATTAATACATTTTTTTTCATTGATGTATATTTGATATTCAGTAGATATTATTTTTATCCGCCTAGCTAATAAATTATTGTAAATTATGCTATTTGGCCAATAAAATAATGATAGTACAATAGATAAGAATTGTTTTTTATATAATATTTTAAAGATAAAAAAAAATATCTTTCTATTCAGTTAGAATAAATAATTTTTCTTGTAAGAAATTTATAAATACGTAAATTATTTTAGAACTCCTATTACAATGAAATGTAAAATATAGTATTCGATTTTTTTTTACTACAACTAATATAAAATATTACAGAACGTTTCATACGAAATCAGCATGAATCGCTTATACTACAAAAAGAGACACCGATTTCATCGCAAATTTTACTAACTCTAGATTCTAATGCAAATGACGCACTACTGGATCTGGCAACTAATGAAAAATTAAAACTATCAGATCTATCGACATCACAGAATTTTGTTCAGACGAATCGATTAAAGCGTCAAATATCTGAAAATAGTGACTGCAGAACCAGGCATGACGAGTGCAAAATTATCTTAGATAGTATGTATTGTCAATGATTTTAGTATTAAGAAAATGTATTATTGCATTTAAAAAGTTACAATCATTTGTCACTATTATTATTATTATTGCATAATACCGATTTCTTATTTAGTGCATTAATTACATTTATGCATATCTATCTATTTGTATTATAATTTATTAAAACAATGTAACTTTAATAGATATCAGGGGTATAACTAATTCAATGCAAGAGAAATTAGATCGACTATATAGTACTTTGGTTAATCAGGGCATTCTCAAAGAAAGCGATCCAAAAGAGGCCAAATTTCGTAAAATTATTGAATGTCTTCAGTGCAGAAATACTATTAATCACAAGAACGATGAATACAGGGACAACGATTCACTTTATTCTGATTCTAATAGGAATGTTAATGATCGAATCAGTGACGTATTACCCTTTTTTGAAGATAACATTTACGATAATAACGATCTTAATAATAATAATAATAATAATAATGATAATAACAACAACGAAGAATACTGTGATGTAAGCACTGAAAAGGTGCCAGCGACCTCAATACCTCATCAAGGCATTCTAAAATCTAGTTCTCGAATCAATACATTTCCTCAAGGTACTATGAATTATAACAAAGAACAGCCACCACAAGGTATATATAAAAAACATTATTCATATTTAATAAAAATTGATTAGTGAAAAAGATAATTTAATATGGGGATTAGGCATTTTTGTATCTGAAATTATGTTAGATTGTCAAATTTATAAAATAATTGTACCATACTTGAATTAATTGGACCATTAATCAATGTTATAACATAAGCTTAAGAAATTTCTTATAGAATTTCAAATAATATGACAATAATGATTTCTTATATAATATTATAAGAAAATGTAATCAAAAGTATTTTGTATTTCCAACTTCAGTCACAGTAAATCAAAACATGAACTTGCTTGTTGATTCCAAACAAATTCTTTTTCACTATAAGCCGATTGACATTACAAATAGCGGTAATAATATTATCATTTTCATAATATTTTCATAATAAAATTATATCATAATCTTTTTTAATTCTAATTGACTAACAGCGAATTTACATAATTTAATATTAGCTATTGTGTACGAACTGTAATATTATATAAAATATTTTATTCGCCTTCGATATTATACATTTCATTGTTGTCTCTTTAACAATATTTTCTTTTAGTACCCTGTGAAGAGTCTCGAATGACCCATAACGTGGATGCAACACCGATCATTCTGCCAACTGCAGAGAGAACACAAACGAGTCAACGGATTCAGTTTACGCCACAAAATAGTTTACCGTATATTCCCGTCTGCTTTTACGGACCCCCATCATCTTTGAATTCATATGAACTGAAACAAAATCCTGGGGCTTCATTATTTACACCTTATACTTTAACACAAAGTAATGAAAATCTTGCATCAAAAGTAGTGAAATTTAATTTTTCAATTGTAAAATAAATTTATAATTTTGCGGAATAAACGTTAATTAACATATGTGTCAATGATTTATTAAATCATTATTGAAGCATTTTAAATGAGAAAAATGATGAAAAATTTTAAAAGTACTGTACAAGAATAATTAGAGGATTAATGATAATACTTATAAGCATTTTGATCGCCTCGAATTATCTATAAAATTTAATGTTTAACCGGTACATATGTAATAACATTTATATACAAAATATTTTATATAAAAAAAAAAAATAATAGATTTTTCAGATCGTATATAAATATAGTTAAATAGTTTCCTAAAATTATTATTATACTAAAAGTTTAATATAAAACATACAATATATATATAAATATAAACATTAGTTAATTAATTATGTTTTTATAGGTACAAATGTAGGCACATTAAATCAACCAGTAAAGTTAATTTTTTCGAATGGTCAACCACAGAAATTCACAGTAAACACCGAGCCTCAGCAAATTCAGCCTAACATATATTCTGCTCCACATTCGCCACAGCCAGATTCTCAGTTTGCACGGGCATCGCCAATAAATTCGTTCTCACAACCGCCAGTGGATCAGTACACGCAACCCTCGGCATTTCCTCAATTTTCTCAATCATCCGCATCATCTAAATTTCCCCAAACCTCATACCCTTCGCAATTTTCACAAATTCCCGTTACAGTTCCAAATGAACATTTTTCACAACAGGGGCAACAAAATTTACCTTATTACTGCACTTATATTCTAATACCATCGAATTATCAACAACAAATTCCGCTTACACCAAACTGGAATACTTTCCAATTTTCTGATAGAGCCAGAGAAAGTGAAACGGCAACACAGGAGGTTACTCTAAATGAAGATCTAGTTGAGCAATCTCAAGAACAAAACAACAGTAATATATTTTATATTAATCCTAAAATATCATCATTGTATTAAGATAGAATTTATATATACACATGTGCGTGTGTACCCAAATATTTAATCTGCTTTATTATTTTTATAAACTATTTCTATAGATAAAGCTACGGAGTCAAATCAACAACAAAAATCTTTATTTAAAATATCCACCTCGGAGAATCAGCAATTTTCCAAAAATTCTAAAAAAAATGAAACATTGACCAATGAAAGCTCACGGCAAAGGAACACAACTGCTGAAATGTCAAGAAATAAATATCAAAATATGTCTGAGCAATCTTATAGTACAAGTATGCGATTTTTATTATTCTTTTTTTTCACTAACAAACAGAACATTTTTTTGAAAAGTTTTAAATAACAATTACTTAATTTATGTTTAATGTAATATTAATAATAATTTAATTTAAAAATTCTTTTGTTTACAATTTGTTATTATTAGATATTAAATTTTATTATTTATGAATTGATAATACAATAAATTCATTTTTATACATTTAAATTTAATAAGTTTCTTCAAATTTATTGTTGTAAATATTATATTGAATACTAAATACGATATATATATATATATATATGCTTCTATTGAATAAGTATAGAATAGGTCAATTGAACATAACTATAATAGAATAAATTGATTAATTTTCTATTTTAGTTTTTTTCATCGCATGCAACTGTTTGGAGACAATTTTATTGCTCCCGTAAATAATCATTCTTACATAATAAATGTTTTATTATGTTCAATGTACAATATATGTGCTATAATTACATTAGTTACTAACAATAAATATCTAATTAAAATTCACATAATATTATCATAAAGTATTTTAAAAAATATTTATCATATTACGCGTATATTTCATTTTTTATCAAAAATGATAAATTAATTTTTTCACATTTTTCATCTATTTCTTCATTATTTAGTGATTCGATTAATTTTATTACATTTTCTCTTTTAGCTGTTTCTGGTCAATGCAATGGTTTCACATGCAATCCACCGTACACGAAGTGCTTAGAGTTAAATCAGCGCTGCGATGGTCGAGTTGACTGTATGGGAGCAGAAGACGAAATTGGTTGCCCCAATAACGGCTATTACACTCGTTTTCATAATTCGAAAGCCGAATTATCAAAGATAAATACGGAAACTCGAACAATGTCCACAATATCAACCTTCGAAGAGGATCGGAAACAAACAACGATGTCTAACTTTGAGGAGGAGCGAAGACAATCCACAATGTCGAAGTTCGAGGAAGAACAAATGCGTAACTCTTCCAGTAGCTCAGCTTCAGGGCAAAAACAGCAAAGTAATACAACATCCAATGTAACTGAAATAGGCGAAGATTTTGGCAAAACTCCAGCCCCTAAAGGAAGAAATGAGCGTACAACTAAAAATGTAGAACAAACTACAATGATTCCGAGTAATCCGCCGGTTAATTTAGTTACAGAACGATCGTTCGAACCGGAATCCACGACTATAGCTTTGGCCGTACCACATTTACCGCATCAATTCATTTGTAAAAGGTGCGCATACCAAAAATGAATTTTATTTTAGAAATTAACCGATAAAATAAAATAAATTAATAAAATAAAAAATAAAAAATAATTTAATATAATAAATAGTTAATTATTAAGAAATATAGAAATTAAAATCATAAGCTTTAAGTTGTTTTTATTCAGCTTATTTTTTCAATTTTTTGGTCAATTTATTTAATTTTTACTAATAAATATTTTAAATTTTGATATACCTGTAAATCATTACGTATGATTTTCAATATAAGAATTATGCAAACTATTCCACTTGCAAAACGATGTGACAAAGTATTTGATTGTGAGGATACATCAGATGAAGAGAATTGTAAATGTAAAGATTACCTTCGAATACGCTATCCATCTGCAATTTGTGATGGTCAAGTTGATTGTCCGGACTCAAGCGATGAAGAGGAATGCGGTAAAATATACAATTTTAATACTATACACATCCATTCGAGTAATTATTTTTTGAAATTAGGTATTTTTTAATAAACGTATTAATAGGTAAAATATATATGCAGAAATTCAAATGTTCATTTTTAGCCTATACATTTTATGTGTTACGTTAATTTATTTTTATCTTCGTCAGTCTTATAAAATATAAAAATAATATATTTAGTGGACAATAGAGAAGTTCTTTATTATTATCAATATTTAAATATATATCATAATTTTTGAAATATGTATTACGGAAATAATGTAAAAATTGACAGTAGATATGTAAGATATAAAAATGATAATATAAGTATATTCAATAGAAAATTAAAAATATGTTAAATATAGGTGAACTGTATTGTCTTCTTGCTATTTTCAAACTTATAAAGTTCCTTCAAATTATATTTCGAAGTAAAAATATTGCAAAAAATTAAATTTTTTAATGATTTATTTAATTGTACTTAAATATATCTATAAATTATTTTGTATGTATGTGTAAATTTAATTAGCCATAATACTCAAAAAAAACTTTATACACTATTTTTTTAATGTATCACATTAAAGAATTGCTTTGCTATTTCCAATTGAATATTAAAATTGTAGAGTTGTGCAGGGAAAATGAATATCATTGCTATAAGAGTGGAGGTTGTATTGCAAAACACAAAAGATGTGATCAATCAATGGATTGTAAGTTGAACGAAGATGAATTAGATTGCTGTAAGTTACATTTTAATCTATTTTTACATTTTTCGACTTCGTATTTCGTTACATAATTTATTGAATTGTAAGAACTATATATAAACTATACATAACTATATATAAATAAACGCTGTATTCTACGTATATAAAATTCTTTATTAATTATTAACTTTATTAATTTTATTAATTATAAAATTCTTTATTAATTTTGTATCGATTATATACAATGTTAATGGTTTGATTTAATTACTTAAAGTACGTTCAAATATCGAATGTAAATAATTAATTATGACTAAATTATTGGTAAATCGCAATCTAACAAGTACGAATATGAAATTATACTTTATTCAATGTCCTAGTTGCCTTGACCGACGGTTATCAAGTAAATTTGGACTTGGACAAAAGACCTCATTTGAGTCTTGAGGGAGTTTTGACACGTTATGATAATGGCGTTTGGCGTCCGTCCTGCTTCAAATCCGAATTTCGTAATGAAACAAAGCGAATAGGAGCCGGACAAAAGATATGCGAGTATCTTGGATTTAAGTGAGCAATTCTTACTTTGTATATATATTCAAAATTCACTTTTGTGTCAAATTTATGTTCCCGTATTTTCTTATTTAGAAAAATTTTACATTGCGAAAATTCATTACAAATAAATGTTGAGAACAAAAAAATATCATAGCTGTAACGCAATAATATTGAAATATGTATTCTCAATCAAAAGTAAATATCAAAAATAAGATTATTAGAACTATTATCGTATAAAAATTTTTATAAAATATTTTCATTGGATGTATAAAATATAGTTTACAATAATCACATATTTAGAATAAATTAATAAAATATGCGTTAGTACATAAAATTTTAAGATAACATAATCGAAAACATTGTTTAATAGTTATTTAATATTTTAAAGTGCATTCTGCATGGTATTCTTTTTAATAATTAGAAAATTTTGTACAGAAATGTCGAGGTAGCTGAGGAAATTTTGGTTCAACCATCAAAACTCATTAAAACGGTACAACCAAATGAATTTCCAGTAAATAAAGATCGTTCATCAAATTATAAATCTTCGAAAAGGGAAATTAATAGCACATGCCATGGTCTTCATATTCGTTGTAAACCTATTTTAGACAGAAAGTTAAATGTCCATCTTAAAATTGATCCAAAATCAAAGGAACGAAACTATATATGGCCATGGGAGGCTGCTATTTTTGTCGACGGACATTACTATTGCTCGGCCGTATTACTAGAGAATAATTTACTTCTCGGTAGTTCTAAATGCAGCGAGGATATCGAGTAATACATTATATTTAATTTAAATAGTTTAAAATCGTTAAATTATTAATAACAAAATATAATTTTACAAGTACTTGATATTATAAAAATGCATGCATTGATATTACTATTTCACATAAATATTATGACAAAATTGAAAATTTTTAACTTTTTAGCTTAGATAAAAACTACACTGCAGCTTTATTTGGAGTGTCAGGATCAAAATTCCATCATAAAAGTGCATATGAACAATTGTTACAAATTATAAATATTAAATCACTACATCATTCGGACGCCTCATTATTTAGATTAAAGGATAATATAAATATGACACGTTACGTACAACCGCTTTATTTAGAAAAAAGGTCAATAAGATAATTTTTAATATAATTAATTTGTGATTAATGAGAAAAGTACTGAATTTTATTGCTAATATATTGTCAATTTCATTTTTCAAATAAATATAAAGATCACATTTTAAATCATGTATTTAATATATATATATATATATATATATATATATATATATTATCAACATTATCTATAATCAACATATTATGATAAAATATATGTAATACTCATAAATAGCAATGCATAGAAATATTAAAAATCTTACTACAATTTAACAACAATTATATTTTATTGGAATATTTCATGGTGAATAAATAATAAATAAAACATATTTTTCAAAAATGATTATAGAATTTTCCCAGCGTCAAAAGATGACACTTGCGTTGCATTGGGAATCAATTCAAATCATCAGAGACAAACGAAATTTTTACAACCAATTGTAAACGCGTGTCCCAAATGTCATCGGTGTTTTATTGAAAAAAGTGATACATCTACTTGTGAGGTAATATTAATAATTAAGTTTTATTATTTACAAATATTTTATTGCCCATAAGATATTAATATTAATTACAATTTTATATATTGATCGATACGAATGCTTAGACAAATAATTCAACGTTGACTTGGAGTGGATATGTAGTTTGTTTAAGTTTCGGTGGTTGGTACCCAGCTGCCGTTTTCAAAAACAAGAATGAAAATTGCGGATTTGTTACCAAACAAGTTCTCAACAGTATTGACTACATACATGCTCATTTATCTCAGGCTATTGGTAAATTGCAAATATTTAATTTATTATTTTCTAATTTCATTAATTGCAATAGATATTAATTCCGTTATTGTAAAATAAGTCAATTATATTATAACTATAATATGATCAAATCTATAATACACTGTCACTCATCTGCTATTTGAAATAATAAAATAATTAAATATTAGATTCCATATTATTATTATAAAATATAAATATAAAATGAAATATTTTAGTAATGGATTTTTTTGTCAATTAAAATTTCTGTGTATACTGTATTATACATATTTTAATTACATCCTCTACTCTGAAACTACTTTCTCAATATTTATTTTCTAAAATAATAAATAAATAATATATATATTAAAGAATATATTTTTATGATTTTGTTATATTGTCGCATTTAGATGAAGTAGTTAAACCATTTACGGAACCGTATTGCGATGGCATACGATGCCCTCTTGGTCAGTGTGTGCCATGGGAAAAAGTATGTGATGGAATTCCTGACTGTAGAGAGGGAGTTGACGAAAATCGTGAACAATGTCAAAAAATGGAGGAAAGATGTAAAAATGGCATTTCTGAGTGTAGTAAGTTAAATTTAAGCTTAATTATTATATAAAGTTAATTATATTTATTAAAAGATAATAACTGCGTTACGAATATTTTATAACATATAAATACAATATATAAATTTGATATCTATTTGTTACTAATTTAAACTAAAGCTTTAATATTGTTGCATCTCTCTAAAAATTCTCTCTAAAAATTTGATATTAATAATTTTATAATTTATATATTCGAAATTAAGATAATGTTTTGAAATACTTTATCATTTTAAAACATTATATCGTTCTGTTTAATAATGTTAACTTTAATATATATTTATTATATAAATTTTTTTTTATATACAACCTAATTTAATATACAACATTATACAAATCGCAAGATTAAGCATACTTATTACATGTTTATTCAATAATATATAAAAAACATTATTTATGAAATATTTTTTTATTATACTAATATACGTAATTCCTTGAATGTAAATTATCTTTCGCAAAGAATGCAGCAAAGCGGAACTTAGTTGTGGAAATGGCAAATGTATTTCAAAGGAAATGTTTTGCGATGGAAAAGTAGACTGTCCCAATGGAGTAGACGAGCCATCAACTTGCAATTGTGGAGAATACTTGAAATTAACCGCACCAAAACGCTTTTGTGACGGTCGACGCCACTGTTTGGACAAGTCAGATGAAAACTATCAGCAGTGTATGTGCAAGGATTCCAGCTTCAAGTGTGAAAAGTAAATTACATTATAAACTTTATATTTTTCTATAATAGAGAGTAATAAAAATAATATAATTCTATTCACATAAATATATTAAAATAATTTTAAATTGTGCTTTTACCTATTGTGATATATATAAAATAATTGGAATTTCTATCATATTCATAAGAATCGTAATGTTATAGAAGTATGTACAATGATACAACAGCATGCATTCCTCAAGACTTTGTTTGCGATGGAGAAGTTGATTGTCCTAACGGAGAAGATGAATCCGAAGAAGTTTGCTGGACACTTAAATCGGACAGAAGTGATTCGTAAGAATAAATTTTTATTGTAAAATTAATATTTTATGAAGGATTTTATAAAAAAAAATCATTCGATTTTTTTTTTTTTTTTTTATTATTCTTAAAGTAGATTTTGTTTCTTAATAATTTATTGTATGGCATTAACAAATAATTTAATTCAATTAGTCATACGATTGAGAGAAAAATGTTAATTTTTTTAATTGTTTTTTTTATAGAAGAGGAAAAGGCGAAGTAATGCGAAGATCATTCGGTGTATTGCAGTCGGAATGTTTTCCGCGACCCATAGATTCTCAAAGAGAAGTAACAAATGCGTGCACAAAATTAGGATATAGGTCAGGTATTCTTGTCGACGGATCGAGACTCTCAGAATCACAGTTTGTACCTCGCAATGATTTTTACATGTTCCAATTGAATAATAACATGTGGATAATTATGCGGAACGACGTGTCTTTCGGATTCTGGAAGAAACCCGAGAGTAGTTGTTATAGACTTTTTGTACAGTGTTTTTAATCGTTTTATCAAATTCATTTTTATTGAATTATTTTATTATATTGAATTATTATTATTATTATTATTATTATTATTATTATTATTATTTAAAATTATTTATTATATGATTGTATAATATTAAGTTTCGCATCTGTGTAATATATTAAAAATATATATTTCTAATAAAATTTATAAATAAATTAGTACTTTATGTTTTCTTGTTTAATCTTTGGCCTTTTAAAAATCATTTTAAAGAAAAAATAATTTAAAAAATTAGAAATACAAACTGTAATTATAATCTATTGGCAACTAACACATCAATTATCTATTAAAAAAAAAAATTAATACTTTGCTTTTTTAGATGTTTACAATAATATTTTTATTTTTAAATTAAATTAAATACAAATATATTCTAATAGTTACATAATAAAAAAATCTTTAAAAGTAAGACTTATTTTGCTGCTTAATCATAAATGTTCCAGTGATAATGTACTAAAGTAGCATTTTATTGAAAAATTGTTTCAAATGATTGAAACGTCTAAAAAAGGAATATCGAAATTGATAAATCCATTAATTAATCGTTTATTTATTTAATTTTAAATATTTTCATTTTCTAGATAATTATTCACCATAATTCGGTATATATTTCTTGATTTTTAATTGATCGAAAAGAGGTTTATTCATATTATTTTCATATATTTTATAATGCATTAATAGTTTCTATAAGATCGTTAATAATGTTGATTATTCTTTTAATTTTATTAAATCGTAAATACATAACTAAAAACAATTATATTCTATATTTAGTTAGAGATTGTTCAATTCATATATGAAAAAAATACTTAAACAAATAATAATAAATATAATTAACCATCGATGATATAAACATAATTTTAATATTTTTGGTTAAATTTATATTTTTTATTAAACTTTTCATTCTTTCTCTAAAATTTGATAATTAAATTTTATTTATATGTATTTGATAATAATAATAATAATTATTATAATTTATTCATTACTTTATTTTAAATAAATTACTGATTTTTATTTTTTTATTCGTAATTATAAATACCAGAATTTTATCAGAAGTATAAATATTTTCATCATTACCATTTATATTCAATTGAAAATTATTTGAAAAAAAATTCTTATAAATTGATTTAAATTATTTAAATTACCTATTAACTATACACATTAAGACCTTAAAGTCAAAATGTTTATAAATAAAATATGTTAAAATCTGTAATTAAATATGATTTTAAATATTTTCTTCAAAGCAGTTTATTCAACTTAAGTGAATAAAATTATATGTAAGAATTTCAAATATTAACAAATTTGAACAATACTATAAATTTTAATATATTTAATCAATTGCTCCAAATTTTTTGTTTATTTAATTAATTAGATTACAGTTATAAATTTTATTCGAAATATTATTATATTACATCTATTAATCACTTAAAGTGCTACCTAGTTTATTATCCCGTTAAACCATGATAAAGCTCGAACGTACTTAGATTAAATAATATTAACAAGTCGATGAATTTGCATTGCTTTTGCTATAATATATATAATATTGTATAATTTATTATTTAAAAAATAATGTCGTGCGAGAACAGGCAGTTGTTATTAATTAAAAAATTTTGCAAATCTCGCTGAAAACCTTGGCTCGTGACACCTACAGATCTTATATTTTTGATAATAGTAAATGTTTGTTCCACACAAGCCTGAAGCTGATTTTTACTTTTTATTCAATGTAATTATAATTATTAATAATATTTGGGACTCTAATATTTCCATATTTATGTTTTAACCATGTAATATGAAAAAATATTTCTTAAAAATACATATATAATTCTAATTATGATGTTATTTGTACTTATATTAATTATATGATTAAAATAGAAACATAAAAATATGACATTCCTACAGTTTCAACAAAACTTTATAACAAAAATTTAAATTTAAATTAAGCCCAAATATTTAAATCGATGTATTTTTTGATAAATATTATTGTCTAAGAGTTATTTATAAATTTTGCCTTTACATTACAATATTAAATAAAAAAACTAAGCAATAAATTTATTTTAAATCTAATGAACTAAAAATTATGCAGTTTTATTGTTAATGTAGTAAGTACGACTATAGAATTTTTCTAATTTTTAAATTAGTTTCAAATATCGTGATTTATATTATCGTCTATTTTTCAATTACTATATGTGGATATCTATTTTGCAGTAAATATGCAGTTTCTCATAAATGTAGAATCTTATTTGTTATGGATATTTGTGGTGGAAATATTGCTTCTACTTCTAGATCTCAAAAGCTTTACGGACTGCGTATTTTTGTTCTCTGTTTTAAATTTACTGGAACTTATGTTGGCCATTGCTGTGATACGGTATAGAGTTTCTCTAGGGAATTGTTCTTAAAACTAACAGTGTTAACAATTCTTTCGTAAAGGCTCTACCCACAAAAGAGCAAAATTAGGTAAATTTTTTTGTTAATTGCTACTGTAATTTCAGATTCATTTGCGATGAATGCAGAAACTTTTGGCATTTTTGTATCTGTACCATTATCAGATATCCTATCGTCATAAAAAATTGGTTTGACAAATGCCCGTTACATTTTAAGCGTATTTGGCATTGCTTGGAGCTTTACCAGCATAGTTTGCTCATATCATAACATTCACCAGTAATAGTATTGCGAATATTTTTGAAATCATTTCTTCATTAACTTGTCGCCTTATTGTCGACAATCCTGTCTATTGCGCATTAAATTTTGTATTTGATAACAACTAAATTTAACTAATATTAAGATAAAAGTACAAATCTTAATCTATTAACACCAATAAATCGTAATAGTTGTGCATTAAAATAAATTTTTATATTAATTGTATTTTATTTTTACACATATTTTGAAATAATCTTTGTGTGTAATCGAGATGAAGTAATGATAAAACTATGGAAACTTTATTTGCTTACTTAGATATATCTATAAATATAATTTAACAATGCATATGATACAAATACTTTTATTAAATTATAAGCAAATCTTAACCAATGGAATATTTACCTTAATAATTTTTAGTAAATACACGGTCAGGGAATAAATCAATTTTTTAATCAATATAAACTATGATACTACATATAATGTACCTAAACTTTCGTCGGTATACGATTCAATATAAGAAATCGTTCAAAAGAAGCTGAAATGACAGATATATATATATATATATATATATATACAAAAATATTGTATACAGTGTGAAGAAAAAGAGAAAATAAATATATCATTCATTTTTCCTAAATATAAATATGAGTGTAATAAAACAAACTTGGACAAAACTAAAAATACGACTTTTTCAATTGATAGTTAAGTTATATGATTTTATATTAAATTGTAAGTAATGTAAGAGTAATTATTAATTTAAATAATGGATTTTAATAAATTTATTCAAATACTAAAAATGAAAAAATCTTCTCGTATAAGATTATACTTTAATATACTTATTAATAATATACCTGATATATATCTAATATAATAATCTGATTCGTAAGTTTATATTCTAATTTTAATAAATTAATTTTTGCATATGATAAATGTATCAAATATTCAAAGTAATTGAATAAAATATAACACATTAGTTTTTTTTAAATTAATTAATACTTAAAATTATTCTATATATTTGGATTATTCTTATATATATATATATATATATTATAATATACTTATAATTATATAGAATGGAATAGTATACATTTAATTATAAAATATAAAATAAATTTTGAAATATAAATATTTCTTAAAAATACTTTTTTTTCAGCATCGATAACTGTAAGCAATAAGCAACTCATAAATTCGTATTCGTCGAATTTTTCTCAAAATCGTACTTTAGCGAAATTATTAAACACTATTAATAAGTTTATTTCGCACGAGTCGACAAATATTATTGCCTTCTCTTCACGAGGACAATTTCAATATATAATAGTCTTGCATAACAAACAAACAAAACAAAAAAAATAATAAAAATTAACTATGAAAAAATGAAAATGTAAAATGAAAATATTTCAATGTTCAAATGATGTTTGCAACTTAGCTCAAACAATAAATGTCGAATATTAATAAATCGTTTGATTACAAATTGTACATTAATTAACAATATTTACAAAATACATACACGTACATTGGGGCCTAGGCCCCTTACATTATTATTACCCTTATTCTCTATACAATTCGATATAATATCATGCGGTATACTCGGAAAATTAATAAAAAATTTTACTTTTAGACATATTTTCTGAACACCCTGTATCTGGAAGATTTGGAATTGATGACGATAGAGAGGGTGGGGGCTTAGGAGGGAGGGAGAGAAAGGTGAACAAGAGAGGCTGCTCGCTATTGTTTTCTCGAGTGGCACTCGCTGTTTCAATGCTCGCTCGCTCGCTCTTGCTCGCCGCTACCAGATGTACGCGAGTAGGTAGCGTGAAGCAAGTCCATTTTTATATTTTCATCTCTACTTTTTCTTTGCCTGGCTTCGTTCTTTGCTTTTTCCGCTTTGAAGAAACAATTTTTTCTTCTTTTTCACTTTTTTCACAAATTTCGAAAGCTTAATACGCATTCGTCACCGTGATGTGCGCTATGTGTTCGTGACGTTCTTATACATCGTACAATTTAACAGTTTATAGAATTGTATAATAACTAGGTGTACACTAGGATATAATTGTTTTTTATTAATGAATTTTTTAATGTAAATTTTAATATCAAAGCACATTCTTCTATTATTCGTAAATTTTCATCTACATTTACATTTAAAATTTAATAATAAATCCTTATAACTGCTATGCATTATTAAAGCTCCTGTAAACAGAATGTTTATTACATAAATTTCATTAATTTCTTGGGAAGAAAATTTATAAACGCAAATCGAACATTTCTAGTAATTTTCTAACAAAAAAACTGTAACAAAAAAAATTAAAATTACGACAATTAATTTGTAAATCTTGACAACTCGTAACGGTTTC